CACTGATATAAATCAAGTATAATTTCAGTGTTTGGATTGTTCTTCTGCTAATGGTGCTAACATGTTAAAAGCTATCATTTCACTTAAATTCAACCACAGGAAAAACAGTCATTTTTTTTCCCCGTCAATAAAAAGTCAGGCTTCTCAGAGTAACAGGTAAACCTAGGCTTTGGAGCTAAATGTGTCTCCATTGCTTTCAAGCATAATCTTTTAAATTTTTGACTTTAGAAGTGGATATTGAGCCTTCTTCTGCAGTTGTATCTCATGATTTTCATGGTTTCTATGCGATCACCCTAATCACTATAGCCCCAATGATGGGCTTTAAATGTCAATGAATATTTTATTCAAATTATACTTTAATTACCACATTTTTGAGTATTTAAAATGCAGTACCTGAGGTCTCATTTTTGACTTATTATTTCAAAAGGGTTTATTGTAGAATAAAAATGTGAAAGTACATCTCCTGTACAGGCCATATGTAAAAAAAAAAAAAAAAAAAAAAATTTGAAAGTACAAAGTGGAGGCCTGTGAAACCCATTTCAAACTACTTTCATACTTTTTTTTTTTTTTTACCACTTAACACATTTACTCAACCGCAATACAATGTTAAAACATGGAAATCTAGGAGTTGCTAAATTGGATGGAATCCAAGACTATTGTTATAATTGGGACTCTCACAGACAAATGTCTTGCATTGCATTATTACTGGTGGAAAAAATGTAAACTCATTCAAGATATTTAATCAAACATGGGCACTTGATTACAAGGATACATAATGATCTCATAGAATTGCAACTATTCAGGAAATGGAGTGAGTTGTACCTCCCGAGGGACTAAGTCTAAGAGGTGCTTTTCTTTGCATACCTGCTCTTTTTACCCTCTCACTATTTAGTAACACTCTACTGCTGGACTTTATGGGGGAGAAAGGAATAACAGTGGTAAAAACCAAGGCTCTAAGAAAAGGATTGGCCAGATAATGAAAGGTTTTATGAACCGAGTTTGGGTGTTAAGAATTTAGGCAACGAGGAATTAAGGCAATGTAGGCAACAAAATATCATAAGATTTACATGTCAGATGACTATAATGGCAGAAAAAAAAATGTCTAAGACTGTTTTTTTCCCCCTTAAAATTTTAAGAGAGAAAATGTAAAACCTTCGAAAATTTCTTACGCTTTACTACCAGTTAGTTGCAGGCCTCCAGAATGCGGTTTACTTGCTGATAAAATGCATCTCAAGTGTACAAATTAAGTATTCCTTTCAACCAATCTCATAGACACTAAAAATTATTTTTAAAAGTCCTTTGAATTGTACTTATATTTCTCAGTATGCTCCAGGTGCTCAAATTAGTGCGAAACAACTTCCTCTGTGAATAGTATTTTGGATGCTATGCCAGGGGAATACACCACAGGGCGATAAATGCAGATGTTTTCGGCGTGGAAGCTTCCCTTAAAGTAAGATCACATTATAACTTTCAGCAAACTTTTTTCATTACTTTAAATATAAGCATTGTTAGAATACAAATAAAATGGGTTAATTTGTGTAAATACCAAATTTTAAAGGCCCAAATATTAAGTGTAAATGTATAGGTATTGATTTTGTACCACTTTAAAATATTTTTTATTTTAATACTTTCTTTAGAATGTGTATTTTTCAATGTGGTATTCATTGAATATTTTTTATCTTTAGGGAACAATGATAAGTCATGTAGATTTGTGTGCCTAAGTCTTGTCTATAGATCAGGGGCAGTCTTTCTCTTTCAGATTCTTCTCTGGAGCTTATTAAATACAAATTTTAAAACTCTTTGAGTCTGATTCAGTGAATCTAGGAACCATTTACACTAGTATTATAAAGATGAGTTGGATAAATTCTCTGCCTTCAAATATTTACAGGTTAGAAATGTTTCACATCAGCCCCTTGTATTCCATTCTCCCTGCTCCCTAAATATACAGTCATCTTTATTCATGCCTTCACTATCAACTGAGCCTTCAAGGTAGAAGTCCTCCTGCCCATAGTTTAATTCTGTACTATCTATTCCTATGCATGATATAGTTCACAGCACTTTGAATATATAAATTCTTATCAATTTTACCTCCTAATGAATCCAAATACTCCTCACTGCCTTGCCTACCACCACTTTCGTTTAAGCTACACTTATCTCTTTAATAAACTACAGGTGTAGCTTCCTAATTAGCCTACCTCATTCATGCTGCCCTCCTCCCAATCTCTTCCTCATCATATGGATGTAGTCAACTTTTAATATGCAAATTGAGTCATGTCATCACCAGCTCCCTTCCTTTCACACGCACACATTTCCCCCTTAAACATGTCTTTCAATAGCTCTTCATTGCATTTAGGACAAAGTCAACCTTCCTTAAAAGAACTACACAGTCTCCATATCCTAGCCATAACTACCTCTCCAACATCCCCTCCCACCAGGATTTCATTTTCATTCTCTGCCTCACCCTTCTTTTATATCTCTGGACTGTGGTTGACAGAATAATGCCCCCAACCCAAGATGTCCACGTATTAATCCCTAGAACCTGTGAATATGTTTCATTACATAGTAAAAGGATATTAGGGTTGCAGGTGGAACCATGTTGCCGTTAAGTTAATTTTTCAGTAAGAAGATGATCATGAGTTATCTTGTTGGGACCAATCTAATCATGAGTCATTAAGAACAGAAGCAGGAAAGGCAGGAGGGTGAGTCACAGAGAAGTAACTTTCCATTTTAACCAAGGAACATGGCTCCCTCTAGAAGCTGGGAACAGCTCCTAGTTTACAGCCAACAAGAAAATGTGTCCTTAATCCCATAACAACAAGGAACTGAATTACACCATTAACTTGAATGGGTGAGGAAATGGATCCTCAGCTAGAGCCTCCAGAAGGAAACACAGACTCTCAGCACTTTGATTTTAACCCCATGAGACTGTGTTGTACTCCCCACCTACAGAACTGAGAGATAATTAATTCAGTTTGTTTTATGCCCCTAACTTTGTTGCGAATTATCACAAGTAGCGAGAGAAAGCTAATACATGTACCCAAGATCTTAGCACATGATATTCCTCGCCTGGAATATGCTTTCCTCTCATCTTCACTTACTCCTATTAATTTGTCAGATTTCAACTTTAAAAATTTTACTCATCTACTTCTTCTATGAAAAATTCTCTCTCAGTTGGAAGACATTCCTCCTACTTCTGAATAAATTGGGCAGCATTGTCCCCTTGCAGTTTTGCCCATGTAAATACCTCGGTGCTATCATTCATAATAGATTGCAAACCCTGGAAAGCCAAATCTATATATAACACAGCACTTTTTGGCATTTCTCATTTCTTTTTTTTTTTTTTTTTTTTTTTAACAAATGTGAAGTAACATTTTAATGTATTTAATAATCTTATCTTCCCTGCTTTAAGAACCAGCCCTTTCATAGGAGAGTCACAATTAAGTTTATGCACAGAGACTACACATGAACATATCACCTATATAGTCTACAGATGTTGCATCTTTATATAACTGGAAATATATGCAAAAATATTCAAGAATGATCAGATAATAAATATTTACTTGAAGCCAACTTACAAGGCTCTAAGCCCTATAAGGGATACTAAGCATAAACTATCCAGTCCCTAAATGCAGGAAAATAGAGCTCTCTCTGCTCTCTACAGAGTTGCATTTTAAAGACTCACTAGGTTTTCCTTGTGCTAGTCCCAAAAGACAGGATTTTTAAAACAATCAGTAATAATCACCTTCCCCACTCACTCACCCATCGAAGTGACAGGATGTTTGTTGATTGCAGATTCTGCCCGCCTAAAATCAGCCACCCTGCTTTACCCTCATGTGGCAGCTCTCTGCTGGACACGGACCCATTCTGTAAGAACCGTGAGGGGCACCAGTCTCTCACAAGGTTAAGCCCCAAGGGAATGCAATGGTAGCCTCTCCCTCCTTGTTGAACTTTATTTATACTCTGTGACTTAATTACCATGTTTTATTAGAAATGTTTCCTTTAAATACAATTTTTTTGGAAAGAATTTTTCATTCTACTGGTTAACATTAAGAATCACAAGTTTTCCTGAGAGAATATTTTTCAAATAAAAATAGAGAAGCAGAAATCTGCTTTACAGCCAAGTTGCCAAGGACTTCAATAACCAGTCTAATCCCTGGTTAGAAATAAAAAAAAACTCAGAGCAACATTTTTTTTAGTATTCTTTTTGGTTAGTTATTAGGTTGATAAAATAACATAAAAATTCAGAATCCCACTTATCATAAGTGCAAGAGAAAAAAAGAAATGAGTGGATATTACAAAACAGCTCTCAAAACCTTTTTCTTAGCAATTATGATTAGACCTTGGATCAGTGTTCCTACTTTAATTATTAGGATATTTGGTCTAAGTATAATCAGTATTGAAGTTTATTGTTTGTTTTTCTTTCAGTTTACTTATTTTTTAACTTTGTCTCATCCCAAGTAATATTTTTTTTTTTTTTTTTTGAGACAGAGTCTCACTTTGTTGCCCAGGCTAAAGTGAGTGCCGTGGCATCAGCCTAGCTCACAGCAACCTCAGACTCCTGGGCTCAAGCAATCCTCCTGCCTCAGCCTCCCAAGTAGCTGGGACTACAGGCATGCACCACCATGCCCGGCTAATTTTTTCTATATGTATTAGTTGTATAGTAGAGACAGGGTCTCACTCTGGCTCAGGCTGGTTTCGAACTCCTGACCTCGAGCAATCCGCCCACTCCCAGAGTGCCCAAGTAATATTCTTGAAATAACAGAAGTGTTAATTATCTACTTCTAACATCCACTAAAATAACAGCCATTATAATTCTGAATGTTCAACCTAAGTCTAAAATCATCTCTGATACAATCAGAAGTAACACATAATCCATGGTAACTAATCTTAAAACAAATGTTTCAAAGGTAGTAACACAATGTGAATAAACTAAGAATGTAGAAATCTCCACATTTTATATACATCATTCATAAAAAATTGTAAAAGTCATTACATGCATATTAGCAGATAATGCTATTAGCAGATAATAGTACTTTTACTAACTACTTAGTTGGGGGGAGTAAAAAGCAGCTTCTAATCACTATTTCAGTTTTCTCTGTTTCTTAGTTCGACCACTTTTCTTCTGTCCTTTCTTCTTCTTTTTAATGAGAACAGCTTTTTCGCCAATAAATAAACTCTTAGAACGTCCTTCTGCATTTTTGGAAGCAAAATGAAGTCCATGCTTAGGTTTACTGACATTCTTCAAACCTGGATTTGAACTCTGTTGTTTTAATTTTTCTTTATTAACAGAACGCATGACTCTGAGTTTTCTTCCCATTAGTTCGGAATTATTTAATTTCAGAGCAAGATGAACAGCATCTGTATTCTCAAAGAGTACGTAGCCAAACCCTTTGCCAACTCCTGTAGCTTGGTCTCTCACAATCCTCACTGCCACGATACTCCCACAATCCAGAAAGTGTTTCTCAACGACAGATTCTTCAACTTTGTAAGGGAGATTCCCCATAAATACTGATCTCTTGTCCCTCGATGAAGTCTCAGATGCAAGATCAACCCTAATACGAAATCCATCTGCAATCTGAGTCCCATTTCTTTTCAATGCTTTTGTAGCAGCACTCTTGTCCTTAAACACAACATAGGCATTAATATTTTTCTGATCAAGATGAATTTTACGCTTTATTGCTGCCAACTTTTTGGATAGAGTTCCCTCTGCTGGAATCAGAGAACAAAATCGTACAGATTCTATTTGTCCATACTCTTTAAAAAATGACTTCAGCTTCTTCTTATTACATGTCACAGGCAAATTGCCAACAAACACAGTTCTTTCATTCTTTGATCTCTCTTCTTCTTGGTTGATCTGAATTTTCTTTCTTTGATTTACATCTGTGTCATCTACATCGTCAAGTACTTTTCTATGTGCAACTTTAATGCCAGATTGAGAATTTTTTCCTTTCTGCCCTTGTTTCTGGTGAATTTCTTCTTCTAAATCAGCACTCGCTAGAGCACTTTCCGTTTGCCAACTTTTTGTCTGCATCAGAGTGTTTCTTCTTCACTTTCATTTTTTTTGCAGGTTCTTCCAAAAGTGGTCTTTGAATCTGGGATGTACTTTCTTCCTCCTCATCCCGTTTCCTTTTTCTAGTGGTTTCTTTAGGCGCGGGCACGTACACGGGTTGAACCTGAGGCTCGAAAGAGCTGAAGAGGGACGCCAGCAGACCTGTGCTGCCTCTGGAGAGCTTGTCGTGGAATAAACTATTGGCGACTTGTCCAACCAGATAGTCTCCGGTCAGATTCCCGCGAACACCGTCATCTGGGTTCTTTCCCTGCTCGGCACTTTTTTTCCTCCGTTTGTTCTTCTCTTCCACAGCCATTTTTATTCCAAGGCCTCTGAGCGGCATTTCTCATTTCTATCAGTGGATTTTAATTTTTTTTTTTCCTGTATTGAATTCCTGGTACCCTTTATCTATTAAGAACCAGATAAAAGGAGAGTGTTCTTTTGGAAATAGATATTAAGGAGAAAAATATCTACCCACTCTGTCCCAATCTTCCTCACCGAGCTAGTCACTGGGTAGATCTCCTGGGACTCTTGGAATTTAGAGAAGGCATTGAGAACAAGAAACACTTTGGGGCCCATATATCAATCGAACCTCTATTCTTGCCACCACGGCTACTCTGTTATGAAGCCTGATGTGCTAGCATTGTGAACTGCCCGGCTGTTTACTTTCTTTTTTCTGGTGAAAGCTCTGTGATCATTGAGCCAAGACACTAAAATCAACACACTTTTTCCCTACTCCCATAAGAACATCCAAATGATTCTTCCAAGATTTCCTTGTAAACAGTTGTCTAAATTTGTTCCTTCAAGTCTCTCTCAACTGATCAAGCCATTTGCCACTTTCCAGGTTCCTATATATTATGAATTAAGATATTCTTTCTCCAAGCACTCTCTGTAACTCACTTGTACTCTCCATACATAATCAAAACCAATCCTAAAAGTGACATTTCTTTATTAAAGTCCCTATCTTTTGTTATGACAATACCAAGTTTATGATGGGCAATTCTAGATATAGTTATTATATAATTCATGTATTGGTAGCATTCAGTGATTTTTAGGGCTGAATAGCATGCCAAGAGCTGTTATTCAAATAGTAAATATTTCTTTACTGTATGTGACCTGGCTGTATTCTACAACTCTAGAAGTTTATAAAATCACTCTTTTACTATGTTTCCCAGAGATTTCATACAGTATCTTTATCTGCTACAAATACCTTTAATAATATGTGATCTGCTAGATCATATATGCGCCAATAGGTAAGGTCATTTGTTTCACAGGCTGAACTTTGTGAAGAGGCTTAATTTGCTACGAATCTCACTCAAACCTGATAGCCTACTGCGTGACCTTTCTGGGTAGGGGGGATGAGTATCCCAAATGTGGCATATATCCCAAATCTAAAATGGCCTGCTAGGAGCTTGTCTTTCTCTTAGTGCATTGAAGATACAAGATACAATATTCTGTCCTTTATTTGGAGAAGGTGTTCTAGCACGGTTCTGAAAATCTACTTATAAGAACAATATGACTTTCCTCTGCAGGCAAGGTTGGGAGCCTAAAAACCTTCACTAATGTGACTAGTCCTGAATCTTTGGAGAGTTATCTCTCAGCTCCTGGAATGTGTGTATCTTATCAGGGCATCCAGACTACTTGCCATTTTCTACTTATCATGTGCATTTAAGTGAATACCAGATTATCTCTTTTAACAGAGATATGATTAACAAAGAAATGGGGCAAAGCCGTGAAGTGAATTGCTGACCTTTACAAGTTAATGTTGATTTATCTTCATTGTCCTATCACATGAGAATTAAAAATAATATATTGGCTAAATAGTTTAACACATTACAAGTTCCAAAAGTTGTGTTGAGCTAGTCTAGTGAAGATACTGCATTGAGCCTAGCTGCTGTGTGATTGGGACTAACAGTTAGTTAAGGTTACTGTGTCTCACTGCCATGCAGTATGATTCATCTGGATTTCATAGGAACTGGGATGATGAATAAAACAGAGATAAAATGGGTCCCACTAATCTGGCTTCTTTTAAGTCATTTTGTATAACACTAATCTTTCCAGTCTATACAGGGTGAAGTATGGTTTCTAATTTACTTAGTTGGCTAGAGATGAGGGCAATTTCATAGCTTTCAACTATTGTTTTTTAGTATCTCTTACTTAATAGATCTGGAAACCAATATAATGATTCTATCAGATGCTGATTATATTCATGTTGATTATATACTCAGGGACCAGGCTAATGACTGGAGGGTGGCACAGGACACTTTGGTCTCACTGCGAGATGGATTTTTGGCTTTGTATGAGCCTACTTAAACAGGGTCTATGATGGTGCCGTTTATCTACTGGTATCAGTATCAGCTCAGAACCTGTATGTAATAAGCCTTGTAGCAGCTGTATATTTCTTTTTCTACAGGATACAGTTATTCTGGCAAATGATCATAGGTCTCATTGACAAAAGCATTAACAGATTTGCTATTGTATATGCTCACTGTGACATTGCTGCAACTTTGCTTAAAGTGAATAGGCCTTCTCTTTATGGCTAGACTTTAGATCTGCTAACTGGCTCAAGTCTCAAAAACTGAAAGAAATTTTGATTTTCTATTATGATGGATGTCATTGGTCTTCTGTTTACCTACTTTTGAGGTTTTTCACATAATCTAATTCAAGCAATGCCCTTCTTAGCTGCCATCTATCTCCTTCACAGGGCACTATAGGTTTATTAGAAAATGCCACAGACATTGTAGGTGAAGATCTGATTACCATTCTGGCCTTACTACTCAATACAGTAATCATGTCACTTTGCCTTGGTCATTTAGGTACCATCATCTGTCTTACGCTATTTTGAAATGCTACTATTTTCATTAACAACAGAATCATTCCTTGAAAGCAACCCTGTTTGCAGAAGAGAGTTGTCATTCTTCTATAAACAATATCAGTAATCCCTCTGCTTAGTAAATTCTTTATTGCTTTGGTAAATAGTGTGTTCCATGAATCTTCCCAGAATTGGTGAAGGAAGGGGCAAAAAGGTGGGGCGCCAGTAGCTTCTGTTGCATTATTCTCTGCTCCTTGGTCCACTGTAGGATAAGATAAACTTCTCAATGTTACTTTCTTCCTTATTTCATGGAAATGAGAATATGTCTTTAAGCTTCATTTCTGAAAACTTTTTGTAAACAGACAACAAAATGGACAAAAATAATATTGTGAAGTTACAAAAGACAAGCATATACACAAACTTAAAAATAATATTTGTCACTATCTTGTTTTAAATGTAAAATCCCTGGTATGCCTGATTTTCATATATTGGATCCAATTGCATCAGGCACAGACTTATAAAAAATTACTCAGATTTAGCCCTGAGGTAATTGGGTTGGCATAGTAACTAGATCCGGTGGGTTTCTGATTCTCCCATTTTCCACTTTGTAGATTTCCCCACAGTGTAGCTTCAGTATTTTCTTTTAGGGCCCGAATATTATAATCTGCTGTTACTTAGTCATTTCTATTATGCTTGCTCACACTCACACCCAAGGTCTGAACCTACAAGGCAGAGCTGGAACAAAGTACCCTGTGTGGGTCTCTTCCCAAGAAAGTCACAATTGAAAGAAGGCTACACTATCATATTTATTTTGTAATATTGTCAGAGACATATGTTTCTAATTGAAGTATTTAGGAGTAATGTGCTACACCCTCAGGAATCCTTTCACCCAAACAATAATCAGTCTGCTCTACTTGCCCTTCACAGGTGGACTTCAGTATTTCCAATAGCCTTTCCTCTATTCCAAGGAACTTCTTCCTCAGGTTAACCCATATTCCTATCAAACTATTTTGTCTTCAGTGGCTCCTGTTACCAATTCGAAGTTGAATGATTTTCTAGAAATTTACTACTGCAGCTATTCTACCTAAAAATCAGAAACTTTCTGTCATCACTAAGAGAAGAGTCTTATTACCGAAAGTACCATATGTCGATGTGAACTTTTCATTTATTATTTGTTAATTTAAAGATTATATTCCCCTTTGAACATTTTTGTAATTATTGAAGTCATCTGACAAGATGTGTTTATGTCTTGATTATTAAATCAAAATAATAAGGTTTATTTGACTTCCTATAGGATCACAAATTAATCCCATTTCGACCATCAGCTTTTGTATTTGTGCTATTAATGAGTCTAGACTGCTTATTTATTTATTTATTTATTTGTTTTTTCCTCAAATCCTGAGTGTTCATAGACTGCTTATTTAAAACCCCAGCCTTCTCTTAGTCATTCTCTTAGCCTTAGTTGTGGGAGTTAGTGTCCATTGAAGAGAATACATAAATATTTTGACTAAAATATTGAAATATAGTGCAGAAGGATAATAAAGGAATGATTTCTTTAAGCTGGCTGTTATTTTCAAGACAGTTTCTCTTCCAGAACTTTTTTTAAGATCTTGAGTTTTCATACTCCACCTATGTACTAGTTACTTTTATGAGAACATATTCATCCATAGGAGTGGACAAAACAGTGTTGATGAGGAAATTATACTGAGTATACATGTGTTGACCACAATTTATTTCCCAGCTTTGATATATCTTACACCTTAAGCCAGTCGCTATCATAACCAATATTTATAAATAATTCTAATATGCCTAAGCTCTTTGATATTACTGAGGAGTTACCCTGGTCTGTCTCTCCATGGAGGGTGTGTAGTGCAAAAGAAATGCCATGGGCTTTGCAATTTGACAGAACCAAATTTGCATTTGGCTTGAACTTTACCAATTTGTTTGAACTTTGGAAAATTGCGTAACCATTTTGAGCTTCAAAAATCTACTCTATAGAATGGTGATGATACCTGATTTCATTTGATTGTTATGACATTTAAACACAGTTGAGTAGAATGACTGGTTTATATTAAGATATATTTAATGGTAACTGCAACAGGTCTGTATTACTGCTTAATGAATTACTGAAAACTTAGCAGACTAAAGCAACACACATTTATTTTAAAATTACTTTAGGTCATGAGTCTGGGCATGGCTTAACTGGGTCCTCTGTGTAAGATCTCAGAGGGCTCCAATCGATTTTTCAGCAAGTTTGTGTCCTTATCTGAAGACTTGACTTGGGAATAATCCATTTCCAAGATCATGTGGATTGTTGACAGCAAGATGAAGTTTTATATAACTTAATGTATCACAGAAAAAAAATCCTATCACTTTTGCCCTATTCTCTTGGTTAAATGCAAGTCACAAACACCTCTCACACTTAAGGGGAGGAATCTATCACAAAGGTATGAACACTAGAAGGCAGGAATCATGGGGTCCTTTTAGAGTTTTACTGTCACAGT